TTATTGGTGCACAACTTGTATCCCATTTCAATTGAAATTTTGTATATGGATTTTCTCCTTTTCGATGATTTAAACTGAGAAAACACAAAACATTACTTATTTAAAAAAGTAAATAATTTGTACTTTGTAGCTCTCACAACCATATCTACAACTTCTGGTTATATCAAACAGACAACGACTGAAGGTAAAGTTGACCATAATAATTATCAAATTATACAACAGCAACATATTTAAACTACCAAATGTTACTACAATCAAAACTATTGGTGTACAACTCGTATTCCATTTCAATTGAAATTTTTTATATGGATTTTTTCCTTTTTGATAATTTAAACTAAGAAAACAAAAAACATTACATATTTAAAAAAGAAAATAATTTGTACTTTGTAGCTCTCACAACTATAACTACGACTTCTGGTGATACCCAACGTCCAACGACTGAAGGTAAAGTTGACTATAGTAACTGTCAAATTATAAAAAAGCATGAGTTTTCAATACTACTAGAACTAGTGTTGTTTGGTCCCAGTAAAAATAATGGACTTAAAAGACCTCAAAACAAGAACATGTCTAATCTAAAGTATTTTACTACAATAATAATTATTAGTACATGCCTTGTATTCCGTTTCAATTGAAATTTTATGCTACTATATATAGATTCTTATATCTTCGTTTTTGAATAGATTTTTATATCTTCGTTTTTGATAAATTAAGTGATACATATAAACATACTGATTTAAAAAAAAGAATTTGTACTTTGTAGCTCTCACAACAATATCTACGACTTCTGGAGATACCCAACGGCCAACAACTGAAGGTACATTTGAATATAATAATTGTCAAATTATACAACAGCAACATATTTAAACTACCAAACGTTACTACAATCAAAACTATTGGTGTACAACTCGTATTCCATTTCAATTGAAATTTTTTATATGGATTTTTCCTTTTTGATAATTTAAACTAAGAAAACAAAAAATCATTACTTATTTAAAAAAGAAAATAATTTGTACTTTGTAGCTCTCACAACAATATCTACGACTTCTGGAGATACAACTTGTATTCTGTTTCAATTGAAATTTTGTATATGGATTTCTTCCTTTTTGATAATTCAAACTAAGAAAACACAAAACATTACTTATTTAAAAAAGAAAATAATTTGTACTTTGTAGCTCTCACAACCATATCTACGACTTCTGGTGATACCCAACGGCCAACTACTGAAGGTAAAGTTGACTATAATAATTGTCAAATTATAAAGCAGATGAGTTTTGCCTACTACTAGTACCAGTGTGGTTTAGTTCCAGTGAAAATAATGCACTTAAAAGTCCTCACAACCTGAACATATCTAAACTAAAGTATTTTACTACAATATTAATTATTTGTACATGCCTTGTATTCCGTTTCAATTGATTTGTTTTTGATAAATTAAGCAATACACAAAATATTACAATAAGAAAATGGTAGCACTTTATAGACTAGTTGAAAATTGTATTGTCACAAGCTTTTGTGTACACAGTACACTTCTTCAGGTGAATGATAAGAGGAGCAACATGCAATCGAATATAAAAGGTCTAAAACAAAAGGCAAGTAATAAAAACAATGGAGGTATTAACATAACAATGAAATCATTCCCTGTAGTGGGCAAGAAAGCCATAGTCTTTGTTTAAACCCAAGTTAACACAGTCAAGTTGCTTAATTATTTTCTGTTCACAAATTTCCCTATCTAGATTGTTCTTAAAATTACTCTTCTTAACTACAGCAACTCTAAGATTGTTGATAGTGTGACCTGTGGACGTGAAATGTTCAGCTACAGGTTTCTTAATTAACTTATGTCTAATGTCAAAATTGTGACCATTAATCCTATTTCTGAGAGTTTGGCCAGTTTGACCAATATAAACAGCATTGGGGCATATATTGCACGTAATGGCATAGATGATGTTAGTGGATGAGCAAGTGAAGTATCCTTTGATGTTGATGATATAGCCATTGGGTCCAAGTATGTGACTCTCAGAATGAATAAGATGGCAAAGCTCACATTTAGTGCTGTGACAAGGAAAAGTGCCATTGATAGGGGTAGACTGAGAAAATTTACTAGAGATAAGATGCTTTTTAAGATTGGCTGGCTGTCTGTAAGCAAGAGAAGGCTTGTCATGAAATATGTGTTTGAGATCATTATCTTGCAGTAAAGGCTGAAGATTGTCAATGATACGTTGTAGGGGTTTTATAGCTGTATGATATGTAACGACTAGAGGAATACGGCTAGATGGTTGCTTCTTTTTGTATGTGAGGAGATCATTGCGTTTATGTTTCTTGGCTCTATTGATCTGTTGTGTGATAGTATGTTGATCATAATTGAGTTGACTAAATGTGTGAGCAAGTTCGTCCAAGTTTTGGTCTCTGTCAACAGTATCAGAGCATATGCGGCTGTAACGTAGAGCTTGGCTGTATATGATCGAGCAAGTTGTGTGTATGGGGTGAAAGCTGGATGCATGTAGGTATTGCTGTGTGTCGGTAGGTTTTTTGTAGATGGAAGTGGTGATTTTACCATTACATATACCTTGACATCAAGGAAATTAACAATAGAATCCGATAAGTCTACAGTAAGCTTGATAGAGGGGTGAAAATTATTAAAATTATTATAGAAGTCCATAAATGATTGTCTGCCATGAGTCCATATAACAAAAATGTCATCAATATATCGGAGATAATTGAATTTTTATATATGGATTTTTTCCTTTTTGATAATTTAAACGAAGAAAACACAAAACATTACTGATTTAAAAAAAGAAAATAATTTCTAATTTGTAGCTCTCACAACCATATCTACTACTTCAGCTGATACCCAACAGCCAACGACTGAAGTTGACTATAATTATCAAATAAAAACAGCATGAGTTTTGCCTACTACTAGTACGTACCTGTGTAGTTTGATCCCAGTGAAAATAATGCACTTAAAAGACCTCACAACATGGACATAACTAAACTATTGTATGTTACTACAATCAAAATTATTGGTACATGCCTTGTATTCCGTTTCAGTTCTCACAACCATATCTACCACTTCTGGTCATACCCAACGGCCAACTACTGAAGGTAAAGTTGACTATAATAATAATTTTCTAATTATTAAGGACCATGAGTTTTGCCTACTACAGTAGTTGTAGCAGTGTGGTTTGGTCTCAGTGAAAATAATGCACTTAAAACTCCTCACAACCTAAACATATCTACACTAAAGTATTTTAATACAATAATAGTTATTGGTACATGCCTTGCATTCCCTTTCAATTGAAATTTTATGCTACTATATATGGATTTTTATATCTTTGTTTTTGATAAATTAAGCAATACACAGAACATTACTTATTTAAGAAAGAAAATAATTTGTACTTAATAGCTCTCACAACCATATCTACGACTTCTGGTGATACCCAACGGCCAACTACTGAAGGTAAAGTTGACTATAATAATTGTCAAATTATAAAAAAGCATGAGTTTTGCATACTACTGTGTACTAGTACAAGTATGGTATGGTCCAAGTGAAAATAATGAACTTAAAAAAGACCTTACAACATGAACAAATCTAAACTACCGTATGTTAATACTAAAATCAAAATTATTGGTGCACGCCTTGCATTCTGTTTCAATTGAGATTTTATGCTACGGTATATGGATTTTTATATCTTTTTGATAATTTAAGCTAAGAAAACACAAAACATACTTATTTTTTAAAAAATGAATAATTTGCACTTTGTAGATCTCACAACCATGTCTACGACTTCCGTTGATACCCAAAGGCAAACGACTGAAGGTAAAGTTGACTATAATAATAATTGTGAAATTATAAAACAGTGTGAGTTTTGCCTACTAATAGTACCAGTATGGTTTAAATGCTCCTAGTAAAAATAATTCACTTAAAATACTTCACAACCTGAACATATGTAAAACTACTTCATGTTACTACATTAAAAATTATTGGTGCATGCCTTGTATTTCAGTTCAATTGAAATTTTATGCTACTGTATATGGCTTTTTATATGTTTTCCTTTTTGATAATTTAAGCTAAGGGTACACATAACATATTGATTTAATAAAAGAAATTAATTTGTACTTTATAGCTCTCACAACAATAACTACTAGTTTTGTTGATACTCAACGGCCAACAACCGAAGGTAAAGTTGACTACAATAATTGTCTAATTTTAACAGCATGTGTTTTGCCTACTACTAGTACCAGTATGGTTTGGTAACAGTGAATATAATGCACTTAATAAACCTCACAACATCTAAACACATTATATCTTCATTGAGGACTTACACTGTATAAAATCCGCATACGCCTTAAAACTAAAAGAAAATGCATACTTTTGGAGTCTGTACTGAGCCCAAAAAATCCGCAATGAAAATATTAACGTGTTTCTAAACAACCGTACGTTACTACAATCAAGACTATTGGTGCACACCTTGTATTAGGTTTCAATTGAGATTTTATGCTATATGGTTTTTTATATCTTTTCCTTTTTGATAATTTAAGCTAAGAATACTCATAACAATTTCTACTTTGTAGCTCTCACAACCATATCTACTACTTCTGGTGATACCCAACGGCCAACGACTGAAGGTAAAGTTGACTATAATAACTGTCAAATTATAAAAAAGCATGAGTTTTCAATACTTCTAGAACTAGTGTGGTTTGGTCCCAGTGAAAATAATGTTATATTTTAAGACATAGCATGAGTTTTGCCCACCACTATTGACATACAGTACCAGTGTGGCTTGGTTCCAGTAAAAATAATGCACTTAAGACCCCACATTATTAAACTATTACAACTGTACGTTACTAATAAAAATCATTAGTGTACAACTTGCATTCCATTTCAATTGAGATGGCAAGTGAAGTAACGGTAACACTATGGTGGTGCATTTGAACGCAAATTCTGATTCTGCTGTATATCGTTTTTTATCTCTCGAGTCGATTGGCTGAGCGGTTAAGACAGGGGAACCGTGACTTACAGCCATATTCTCAGCGCTGGTTCGAACGGCACGCTCACCTATGGTTCCGGTGGTGGAACAAGTCTTCTCGGATAAGGACTCTAAACCGTAGGCCCAGTGTACACAATTGGCTCGTGTGCACTTTAAAGAACCCAGCACATCATTCGAGAAGAGTAGGGGGTTGCCCCGGTGTACTGGTCCATCTATAGTCCCCTATCCGGCCACAGAAGGAGCGCTCACGACGCGGCCCATGTCAGGTACCTATCCAACCTGCGAATATTTCTACCACACTACGTAAGCTAGATCATACACACTAGCTACGTAGTGACTCGATAAGAAGAATCATCTTTCTGTTGATAACTTAAGATAAGGATACCCATAACATACTGATATTTCAATAAAAAAAATAATTTTTATTTTGTAGCTCACACAACCATATCTACTACTTCAGCTGATACCCAAAAGCCAAAGAAAGATGAAGGTGAAGGTGACTACAATAATTGTTTTATTTCAAAAAGTTGGAAGTGCTTTGCCCACTACTATTATACTGAAGTAGTAGTAGTGAAAATAATATTTATTAACAGAACTCACAACATGAACATAACGAGACTACCATACTACAAACAAAATTATTGGTGCACATTTTGTACTAAAGACGGAGTAACAGGTGGCACTCATGAATCTAACTCTATGAGTTTTATGTATTATATAGTACTTGGAGCATATAGTATTATGTCAAATAGGCTTACTATATATACAACACATGATACCCTGATACACAAAAAATCTTTTATTATTCAATTTGAAATAATGTAAGAAATTACTAAAAAAAAAAAAAAATTATTGAAAGGAACTGTCAAGAAACTCACTTTTGTTGGTACAGTGAGAAAATAATGGGCTCTCAGCAAGAGCGTGTGTCACTACTTGACATGTTACTTTTTTTTTACTACTTCTCACTCATCCAACATTTTTGGGGGCTTTGAAACCAAGACCAATTTCTAAAGATTTTAGGCGATACCCGACCAAGAAAACTTATTTTGCACCCCTGTCAGGCAAATCCTGGTGCCACCCCGCATAAAAAGGGACGAAACAGAAGGAAGATCAACTATAAATTGGAATGAAGGAAATTAGGCCCAGATAGGTAAAATGGGAAATACCCACTCCAATATTTTTTGAAGCCCCTCTCTAGAATTAGGCAGCCACACTAATGTATATTTCTGTAAAATACCTCAGCACTTACTTTATCATATTGTATATTGCAGATATTAAGTACTGGTAATGGCCTGCAATTAAAATATTTCAGATCATTTCAACACAGACATACTGTTTCTGCCATACTGTATGGCAGTGGCATACAGGATTTTAAAAAGTGGATATGGGGTGCTGATATCCAGTGGCGACACCAGCGGGGGGCAGGGGGATCAAGCCCCCCCCACATCGGTCAGCTGAAGTCCCCAACATCGACCTAAAGCTCATCGGGCAGTTGGACCGAAAAGAAAAAAAAATAGGCCTAATTTTTCCATCCCTGCCATTTCCGGCCATCTACTAGTCTAGAAGTCCCAATTTTTTTTAAACAAATCTTGTTTTAGGATACCCAACTCCGGCTCGGGCCCTCGGCTAGAGTTACACCCAGAAATACTTAGCCCTAAAGTCAGACATCTTAGCTTTCCATAAATTATATCCTAGAGCCGCCACTGCTGATATCAGGATATCAGAGATTAAAAGTCAGCCCAATTTGCAGGCAAAATTGTTTTCAATTTTCGCCCCTATGGTATGGGGATTGGTTCTCTTCCGCTTCATTCCTGAAATGTTATTTCCTAATGCTCGAAAATGCATTCAGGAACTGCATTTTTTCCCTTTTACTTAAAAATATGACCAGTGGCATATCCCTGAGTTTAGGACCAGTGAGTGATTTCCACAGAGAAAGGGTCAATCCACCTCAGCTCTACCATGGTTAGGTCAGAAGTAAGATATGGAACCTCAATTAATCTTAGAGTTTCATAATCCCACTCATCGCCACACTATTGTATATTTCATGCATTAATGTAGGTCAAGTAACTTTTGAAGAAGTGGAAACACCAGAAGTATCCAACGTTCGTCTGACGACGTCAGAATCAGATAGCGTCGTCACATTCACGGCTTCAGCTGCTGCCAATTTGGCAAATGGTGTGTAGAAAATTTACTAACAATAGTAATGATAAATTAATCTAAAGCCTTTTCCAAAGTATCAAATGTTATTTGACATATGACTTGCCTTAATATGGTCATGAGGGCACCACATGACCATATATAGGCACATCATGGCTCTATATGGGCATACAAAAAAATCTAATGAATAGAATTTTGTGGAATAGTACATAATAATTGAAGAAAGAGACCATTCAATTTTCGAAAGACAAGGTCCAGGTCACAAAAATTCAAATTTTTACCCAAGAATTAAAAGAAAATGGAATCGACCCTTATATTCAGGCACAGGCTGGATGTATGCATTCAGTACGCAATAAAATAATTTGCCTGAGTACTAGAAAATAATGTGCCTGAATATGATGGGTAATTGCATTATTTCCTTGAGGGTAGTTTCACCAATCATACACAGCCAGCTTATTGTTGGTGTTCAGGCACAGGGCAGAGGTATGCCCTCTATGGAATGATTGCTCTAGTTCTTTCATTGCTTTGTTTTCTAAACATTCAATTTCATCAATGCCTACTGTAAATTATTGTACTTTCTTATCTTTCATTTTTTTATTGCAATTTCTATTTGATTATCTGATACTAACTTTCCTACAGAATCTTTAATTATTTGTTTGATCACCTTTTTCTATAGTTAGTTCACCTTCAATAGGTACCTTCTTTAAAATATTCTAAATAATGCTTCCATCTCTGATTTAGAGAATTCTTGGCTATGCATCTATCTTGTTTGCATTTAAATGAATTTTGATTGATTAAAACAAACATAATCAACTAAACCTGTCATTTTGTTTAAGATGGACCATTCAGCATTGTTGCAAGTCTGATTGTGCTCAAGGAAAATGCCCCTCTGGAAACTGCGTTAGTATTTTCATTCATTTCAATATTAATTATTTCCATATATTTAGTTACACACATCATTATGACACCTGTGAAATCAATAGCTGATCGGCCTTGGTCGGTCAGTGAAACGGTGTGATGATGTATGATTCTATTTTTTTATCTGTTTTGTCGGTTATTCTGTTTGGTTAGTTTAGGTTATTTCCAGTCAAATTTATTTCCATACATTATTCACATATATTTTTCAAGCACCTTTAGACGGTTTCGATTGTGGAAGGCGCTATATAAATATAAAACCATAAACCATATGAAATTTACTTTATTAAATAATGGTCATAGATATTAAGATTAAAATATTCACAAGAAATAGGAAAGGAAAGACACATTTACATCCAAAAATACATTATAGAAAGAAAGATATAAAATACACTTTATTGTATAATGATATCAGTAGACCTTTTTAGCCTTTCATAACAATATATTTTTTATTTTTGCAGTAATGGAGAGGTGTTACCTAGTGTGAGTGATGTTGTGGATATTAATATTTACGATAAAAATCAGAATAAAATAAGTACCGACAGTGAGATCCAGTTTCCTTCTATTAAGGTAAATATACTTTAGAACTACATTTCAAATTAAGAAATATACAATATGGGAGGAATGAGTAAGTGTTGATAATAATAATAATAATCAATATTAATACACAGAAGTTTTTTAAGGGTTTTTGTGCAGTTTGGATTAAAATTTGAAAGCCACTAATTTGAAATGTTTATTTTCATTTTTTAAACAATTCAAGAATACAACTTCAGAAAATGTTACCAATGGCAATCTAATTCCAGTATGTCATCACACACCTAATTTTACTCAAGACACACCTGTGTAAGTAAATTGATAGCTATTTATTAAAAATTAAATATGAAAATAAGAGTTTAAGGTGATGATGGCAATATAAAAAAAAACTAAGATTCATGAAGGTTGTTCTGAATGATATTGGATGATTGTGGACATTAAAACAAAATTATCTTAAATTAAAACCTAGCAAAGGCAGAACTAATTTTATTTGGTTTTATGAAAAATAGCAAATAACAATGAAACAGTAACTGTAGCTGGCAAAGCATTTTCAGTCTTTCAATGTATCAAAAATATTATTAACAATAATTTTCTAATAATACTAATAATATTATACATTGTGACATCATCATTTTCATTTGCACATAAATTTCCTATCCCTGAGCAGGCATTTTTCAATATAGCTGTTGTTTTTTTGCATCTCGAGTGCAAAAACCTTAAAGCAAGAGAGTTCTACATCACAACCCAAACAAACCACGAACGAACAAACGAACCCAACATCACTCTACGGCGCTGGTTAACACGATTAAAGCCTAGACAACCTAAACAAGGCCTAGAAAGGTATATGGTAATATGAGATAACAAGGTAACTGACTTAAAAAATAAAGACCTGAAAACTGAAGACATCATCACTGAAATAATTCATAATGATGTTTACAATATATTTTAATCTACTATATTTAACAATATGTCTATTGTCAATTTATATTAGAACCGATAGAAACATACAGTAGGTTAAAAATTTCCCACACAAATAAAATATACGAGCAGTACTGGGTAAAGACAACTTGATTTCTTGCTTCGAACAATGTATCCATTCATAGAAGTCTATGAAGAGTTTAGATTGACAAAGATTGAACGTTAAATACAAACACGATGTGTATACAGGCTTAGTTCTAAAGTCTA